TTTTTTTTTTTTTTTTTTTTTTTGGTATCGGGGATCGAACTCGGTTCCTTGTGCTTGCAAAGGACAAGGCAAAACCACTGAGCTAAATCCCCAGCCCCTGTACTTTTTTTTTTAAAAGTCTTACCTCATTCCAAAAAGTATTTGAAGTTATTGAATTTGGAATTACTCTGCTCCCTCACACCAGGGATAAAATTAAGTATAACTTTACAGTTTCTATTCCATAGTCTTTTTTTCCTTTGGCATTTAGAAATTCTTCAGCAATTAGAAAGCATTACCACATTGGTCAAAGACAGCCCTCTGCCTAGAGCTGCTGTCGTAATCATTAATGGATACCATTTTTATATTTTGGAGCATTTAAAAAAAACCCTAACTCCCACATTAATTCCTACTATTCAAATCAATTTGAACATTCTATGCTTGGAAATTTCCTCCATTGGAAATGGGAGAAGCAAAAATACTGCAAATTCATGACTTGTATTTCTGAGTCAATGGTCATGAAGAATTAGAGTGGATCTCCCATCTCGTGCAGAATGGTATTAAGAATGGTGTTGATTGGTTTTTGAAGGCTAAGAACACTGGAAATCATGTAATTTATAGCAAAATAATCAGTATAGGTAGCAGAAATTATTCAATCATGTAATGCCTATAACAAATACCTTTGATGGTAGGTCTATTCTGTAGCAGAAAACCAAGATAATAGGATGTTATCCTAGAGACAGTAATTATGATGGTTAGCACTCTGGGAGGCTGAGGCAGGAGGATGACAAGTTCATGACGAGCCTGGGCAGTTTAGTGACTTAGCAAGACACCGTCTCAAAAAAAAAAAAAAGAAAGAAAAAGGACTGGGGATGTAGCTCTGTACAAAGGTCTAAAAAAACAAAAGTAACTCCTTATATATACATGTATATGTGTATACTTATATGCATCCAGAGATAATTCTTCTGGTAAATACTAATATCTCAAATTTTGATATAATGGAATGGCATCAGTAGTTGGGAAAACTTGGCCAGAGATTTTGTTCAATGTACAGGAAAATGTATTTGACCAAGTATTACCTCTCATAAAATACATGGCCTCTAAATGTCTCTGAGCTCCTGTCATGCATGACCATTTATAATATCATTTGGGAAATTAATCTTGAAGGATTGACTGCCTTTACTCATGAGGGTTTTGTTTTTAGTTAGTATATGTTTGCAGTACGTAATGATCAGTGGGGACTTGGTACATGTACTTAACACATCTTAATTTTTTTTACATTCCCTTCCTCTCCCCTCTCTTCTCCATCCCACAGTCCCCTTCTCATTTGCAGTGGATCTATCTCCCTGTTTTCTGTTATCTTTTATTTTGCTCTAAGTTATCTACACTTTAGGTTTCTCAGGTAAGAGAAACCACATTTTAGCTTGTGTGTGTGATTTATTTCACTTAACATGATCTCAGGGTGCATACAATTTCCTACAAATGATTCAAATTTATTCTTCATAAGGTTTTAAAAAAATACTTGTAGCAAAATGTAATAGTAGAGATTTAGATTAGGAAATATAGGAAAACCTTTCACTGAATGCACTTTCACCTACAATGAAAGTATTTCCAATTAAATTCAGGTTAAAAAAAAAATGGCACTTTTTAAGGTTGCCCCCTAATGGTCCATCTCCTTACGTGTAATTTCTCTGTCTTCTACAGTTTGCACAACATGTATTCACAAATAGTTTTGATCTATTGATGAATCATAGGCCTTTAAAAATGGAGCTGGGTATGGTATCACTGTAATCCCAGCACTGGGGGAGGCTGAAACAGGAGGATCTCCATTTTGAGCCCAGCCTGGTCAATTTAAACTTGGACCTTATCTCAGAAAATTAAATCTGAGGTTGTAGCTTAATGGGAAGGCCCCGGGTTCAATCCCCAGTACTGCAAAAGAAAAAAAAAATGTTATCCTTTAAAGTTTGTTATTTCTGTGACTATGCTGCTAAAATCAGAACACTGGAAATTTTGCAATTGAAGCGTAAAGGTTATAAGTGTCTAGGATAGATATATAACCTGTGTTGCTCCCCTTTAAGGTGTTTAGAAAGGATTATCCTGGAAACTAGTAACACCTACTCTCATTTGATTGGTTTTTGCTTGTTTGATTTTATAAAATCTGATCGCTCCCGCAGTTAAGAGCGTGGTGATGGTGGTGATTGCCTCTAACCCCATTCAGCATTTTTCCAGAGTTTCTCATCGTGACTGAGGGACAGCATGACTCTGCATAAGAGAATGTGTTGCTGAAGGACCTGAGACCTAACCAGTCGGACAGAGCGTCAAAACGGGCTTCAGATCCTTCTCCGCGCCCGCAAAGCGCTGGCCGATCCAAGATGGCTTCCCAGGAACAGGTAATTTAAATGTTGTTTCTGCGTAGAGCGCCCCCGACGGCGGGGGCCAAATAAAGATGCCGAGAGGCCCGCCCACCTGCGAACAGAGCTGTCAGCGCCTGCTGCCGCCAGATTCTATTCTCAATCGGGCATATCCGTGGTCGCCTACGGACCCTTCCCAGCCCTTTAGGACCTTCCACCCTCGAGAGACTTCCTGGATGGCGCTCATACAAGCGCGCTGGAAGGGCCGGCTTCGGCCCTGGGATTGGCGGGTGGGAGCGAAGGTGGGCGGGCCTCAGCGCGAACGGACTACTAGCAAGGTAGATTGAGGCGAGGGCTGGCCATGCTCCGCCGGAAGGCGCCTTGTTCTCCGAGAGGGTGAGTTGAAATGCTGGCTGGGAAGGAAGCACAGGACTTGTTCAGGTAGGCTTCCCGCTTCTGCCTGCACCTCGGTGCCTGTTCAGGGGACTTTACACAAGATCACGCCCTCGGGGTGGCCTCAGAATGCAGCTTCCTCCCTTTGCTCGCACCCCCTCCGCGTCCCCCGGCGTGGGGATCAGGTGCTGGGTGATGCTCCGGACTGAACCATTCTCCTTTGTGAGAGGCCGGGGGAGAAGGCGGCTGCCGGGCCGCGGGGTCTGAGCTGGGCCAGGCCGTGGGCAGACTGCTGGGACCACGGTGGAGTTTTTAGAGCTTGTCATTGCTTTCCTGGGCGTGGTGTACAGTTGAGACAGCGCCTCCTTCTCCTTCTCCCTTCCTAGAAGGAAAAACTCCCCGGCTCCGTTTGGTTACTCCATACTTTGGACTTAGAAGTGGGAGGTTTGGATATTTTT